TCCAGAATAAGACACTCAAACAGGGCCTGTCATGTTAGAAAACTGAGTGCAAAAAGGTGGTTGTGTTTTACATCCTGAAACGTGAAAATCTGAGGTTTTTGGAGATGATTCTGGATGTTAACTTGATCTTTTATCACTGGCTTCAGTGACATGGCCCTATCATCAATAATTCCAGAGCCATAGCAGCAGGGTGCTGACCTGCTTCCCCACAGGCTCCACGTGCAGTGTGTCCACCACGACCAGACTCAACCTCATGCACAACCAAAGTGACACAGTGTTAGTGCCATGTGGAAGCGGACAGAGAGTCACTCTTAGGTCCCACTGCACACTGCAGTGGCTGCTCCAGCTGCCCCCTGATTGCTCAACTCAAGGGCTGTGTGAGAAAGTGAAAAAACCCCTATGTGATCTTGTCATGAAACCTCGTCTCATTGCACACGAGCAAAACAAGGTTGAGCTTCCACTGTAAGGACACCCTTAGTGCAGATACTTTGCTTTTTCTGACCACCTGGTGATCTGAATATTTGTTATCCACTGCTAATGTTATTAGTATCTCCATACATCTTTGCCCTGCATTTTGGATGCTCTGTACCACTTAAAAAGTACTGGTATTTGAAAAAAAGGAAGGCCCCACACACCTAGTTTACCTCAGCCCACAGCCTTGGGCAACCCACGCAGGATCTGAGACAGGCAAGGAGTTTCCAGAGTATGGGAAGAAAACGGTGGAGATAACAGCAGAGTAGTGTAAAAAAGAGGTCAGACAATGGGGGTCACTGCGTGAAGGGGGTTCTGAAATAAACCCGCATCAAACAATATTTCTGTCTGCTGAACAACAAGATGACACAGGGTGTGAAGTGAGAAATGCTGTGTTTTCACAGGGGTAAGCTGAAATTGGTCCCCATCTTAGGTCTCAAATCTGTTTACAGCAATATTTTGTCTACTCATATGATGTATCATTTGGGATAAAGCATCTATATAAATGTATAAACTTTTGAAATAACATTTATGGTTTTAATTTGCAGAGTATGATTTCTTTCATTTGTAGCTTTCCCAGGCTATAGATTTCCTGTCTATCATCTCCCTCTTGGTATCAAAACTCCAGGGCCAAGCCACTCTAAGTCCTTACTGAGCCCACCACTTACAGGGTAACAGGGATAACCACCAGCATATTCCCTAAGCAGGGCATCCCAGAGAATTCACTCAACAAAACGCATCCAGCAAAGCAAAGGAACAAGGCCCTTCATGTTAATTTAACAACCTGCTATCCCTGAAATCACTGGCAATACTGATCTGTTTCTCTTGCAAGTAAACAAACATACATGAGTTTACCATGCAATAATAAACTGATTAAAACTTAGAACATAAGCCCAGGCAGGACATATTTCTCAAATAAAAACGA